TTCTTAACCACTGTGCCACCAGGGAGGTCCCTGCCTCAATTATTCTGCTATTGATCCCTTCTAGTGTATTTTTCATTTCAGTTATTGTATTGTTCATCTCTGTTTGTTTGTTCTTTAATTCTTCTAGGTCTTTGTTAAACATTTCTTGCATCTTCTCAGTCTTTGCCTCTATTCTTTTTCTGAGGTCCTGGATCATCGTCACTATCATTATTCTCAATTCTTTTTCTGGAAGGCTGCCTATCTCCACTTCATTTAGTTGTTTTTCTGGGGTTTTATCTTGTTCATTCATCTGGTACATAGCCCTGTGCCTTTTCATTTTGTCTATCTTTCTGTGACTGTGGTTTTCATTCCACAGGCTGAAGAATTGTAGTTCTTCTTGCTTCTGCTCTCTGCCTTCTGGTGGATGAGGCTATCTAAGAGGCTTGTGAAAGCTTCCTGATGGGAGGGACTGGTGGTGGGTAGAGCTGGGTGTTGCTCTGGTGGGCAGAGCTCAGTAAAACTTTAATATGCTTGTCTGTTGATGGGTGGGGCTGGGTGGGGCTGGGTTCCCTACCTGTTGGTTGTTTGGCCTGAGGCGGCCCAGCACTGGAGCCTACCTGGCTCTTTGGTGGGGCAAATGGTGGACTCTGGGGGGGCTCACACCAAGGAGTACTTCCCAGAGTAGTACTTGTCCCCACGGTGAGCCACAGGCACCCCTGCCTCTGCAGGAGACCCTCTAACACTAGCAGGTAGGTCTGGTTTAGTTTCCTATGGGGTCACTACTTCTTCCCCCTGTGTCCTGATGCACACATTACTTTGTGTGTGCCCTCCAAGAGTGGAGTCTCTGTTTCCCCCAGTCCTGTTGAAGTCCTGCAGTCAAATCCCGCTAGCCTTCAAAGTCTGATTCTCTGGGAATTGCTCCTCCCGTTGCCAGACCCCTAGGTTGGGAAGCCTGATTTGGGGCTCAGAACCTTCATTCCAGTGGGTGGACTTCTGTGGTATAATTGTTCTGCAGTTTGTAAGTCGTCCACCCAGCGGTTATGCAATTTTATTTTATTGTGATTGCACCCCTCCTACTGTCTCACTGCAGTTTCTCCTTTGTCTTTGGATGTGGGGTATCTTTTTTGTGAGTTCCAGTGTCTTCCTGTCAATGATTGCTCAGCTGTTAGTTGTGATTCCACTGCTCTTGCGAGAGGGGTGAGCACACATTCTTCTACTACGCCATCTTGAACCAATCTTTATTTTCCGTGACATTTCTAGCATTTCACCTAGAAGTCTCTCTTGACATAATTAAATCTGCTGGTTTTTAGTTTAGATCTCATATAAATGGGAGTATGATACCCCTTAAACTTTCCTTGTAGATCTAATCTGACAATCCTTTAAAATCATTTATGTTGCATTTCTTTTTTCTATTTTTTTAAATTTTTATTTATTTATTTATTTATTTTTGACTGTGCTGGGTCTTCGTTTCTGTGTGAGGGCTTTCTCTAGTTGTGGCAAGCGGGGGCCACTCTTCATTGCGGTGTGTGGGCCTTTCACTATCACAGCCTCTCCTGTTGCGGAGCACAGGCTCCAGACGTGCAGGCTCAGTAGTTGTGGCTCACGGGCCTAGTTGCTCCGCAGCATGTGGGATCTTCCCAGACCAGGGCTCGAACCCGTGCCCCCTGCATTGGTAGGCAGATTCTCAACCACTGCACCACCAGGGAAGCCCCCAATGTTGCATTTCTGTAACTGGAATGTCTTAGTATCTATGCTTCTTGTTGATAAATATGCAGTCCAGAATAATAACTGAAATACCATGAATAAAATCCAGGTAAAGCAATAGATCAAAGTGTTGAAAACCCATCCTCTCCTTCTACTTCCCCAGAAGATCCTATGGATCCCATTTCCCCAATTCTCTCTCCCCTTTGAGAATTACTACTCCTGGATCAGTTAAGTGATAGAGCTCACTTAGGCAAAAATCTGTTGAATTATATTTTTTTGGTTATTTTTAGTTAAACATTTTCAAAATCTGTGTGTACACCTTAACAAAGATTTTTGGAGGCTATAGATTTAAAGTGTACAGTAAGAAATATCAAAACAACTTGTCTTTGGAGCTCAATTTAAGATTTTGATAGAATTGAAAGGCTTGATTTTAAGAGTGTTATTTATAAGTTCAACTTTTTCCTTGGTTACACACTCATACCCCAAAACAATCTGTTTTGAAAAGGCAGGTTGAATTAGTGTCAGTAAGGGCTTAGTATGTTTATTTTTCATCATGGAAATAACTTTTTAGGTCATGCGGTAGATCCTATTTTAGAACAGTCTAAAATCTGTGCAAACAGTGCACTTGTTTATTGACTTTAAAAATCTATTGTTTCCTGAGAAGGAATTTTCAGTTCATCAGTTCTTTCATCACCACATAAAACACTCATTGGGCAGTCGAGTTTTATCAGTTTTTATGTCTTCCAGGCACTTAATACAAGTACATAAAATTAATTTTTGATTATAGTAGAGATTTGGCACATCACTGTGGATTTTCAGTCATCCTGAAAAAGGAGAAAAATCACATCAACTAACTCCAGGCAATCCCAGCTTGCTGTATATGTAACAGAAAGACAAGCATCATGCTAATTACAACATATCTTATTTAGCAGAACAGTAGAATAGTTCAGTGAAGTTATTTAATTCTGAGCTCTCTTAAAATGATTAGTAGTTGTATACTTCTTGACCTGGATTATAAGGTTTGTGATTTTGCAAATTGATCCTTATATACTAATTTTTTTTAGTTTGTTTAAAAACCTTGATTTATGTTTCCAGATCTCTCTGATGCCTTTGACAGAGATATAATTTAGAACTTAAATTGACTTTATACAAAGGCAAGTAAACTAGTTATTGAATTTAAACTCACTTAGGGGCAGCTGCCTATGATATTACTAACTGGACCTTGACGTTCCAGTGACCTACATACAAGGCAGCAGGGTACCCAGAAGATAACTGGTCCTAGCCCAGGGTCTTGAGCCTAGCTAGTAGTATACATGAAGTAAATATTTACTTAGACACATTCATCCCCTGTTTTCTCTCTGGCATTATCTTTTGTAGGCCTCAGTGTAGGGTTGTGATTGTTTCCTGAATGTGTGTGAGCTTCCCTCCTTGCCCCATCTTCTGAGATCTGGGTTTTATTTCCAGGTGCATGCTGCATGAAGCCTAGCTCCTCACATCCTAATATTTTTCTTTTTCATTTTTTGATATTTGGGCTGCCTAATTTAACTATGAACAGAAATGGTTATTAAAGAAATAGCTATTTGGAGTTACTATGTAATTTTGTAACATTTTCTCTGATGATTTTCCTAAGATGTCTCAAATACTTTTATTTTAAAAACTCTTCACATTTTCTACTGATTTGGGACAGGGTTTACACATAATTGGGTTTGTATGTGTTTGGGGAAGAAGTGCAAAGAGGGTGATAATTACAAAATATAACAGCAGCTACGTTTACATGGTTGAAATTTTGACTGCCATTTAAAGACTATGACAAAATTTTCTGAATCTGAAAGCATTATGAAAAAATACCTTTCTTTAGCAGCAAGACAGATGGGCAGTGAAGGAAGACATGCCCTTGTAATTATTTCTCTTGCTCTTCTCATCTTCTCTCTGTCAAAATATTTAATTTTTAGTCTGTGAGCTTTTTACATTTGGACACCAATTGATTTTTCATCTCCTTTAAAAACTTACCTAAACTTTCAACAGGTGAACTTTGTGATATGTGAGTTGCATGTCAATAAAGCTATTTGAAAACAAAACAAAACAACCTTACCTGAAACTTACCAAAACTTACCTAAAAGCATTTTCAGTGGTATTGGGAAGCAGCATTGTATTAATGTTAGAAGTTGAAGAACAAATGTTAGTTAATTTATTTATAAATTTCCAAGTGATGTGGCTTTTTTTTTTTTTCTTTTTTTTTTTTGCGGTACGCGGACCTCTCACTGTTGTGGCCTCTCCTGTTGAGGAGCCCAGGCTCCGGACGCGCAGGCTCAGCAGCCATGGCTCATGGGCCCAGCCGCTCTGCAGCATGTGGGATCTTCCCAGACCGGGGCACGAGCCCGTGTCCCCTGCATCGGCAGGTGGACTCTCAACCACTGCACCGCCAGGGAAGCCCAGTGTTGTGGCTTTTAAGAATATATAGTAAGTCCCCTACATACGAACCTTCAAGGTGCGAACTTTCAAAGATGTGAACGTGTGTTCTCATGTCGAATCCCATAAGTTAGTTCACGTGTCTGGTGTACATTGCCACATGCGTGCATCATCTACAAGTGGTTCTGCTTATGTGTACTTTACTGTACAGGACTGTATAGAGTACAGCAGTACAGTATCTTTATTTCAAGCTGAGGATGTCCTGAAGCAAGTGTAAAAGCAGCAGTGATGTAGCTGGTACTGCCAAGAAGCACCAAGAGACAACAATGGAAACTACTGTAAGATTAAAAATGTTTTCTTTAGTTTTTGCATTTGTTTGTTTGTTATGTATTATTTGTGTGAAAAGTATTATAGTACAGTACCTATTACAGTACAGTACTATATAGCCGATTGTGTTAGTTGGGTACTTAGGCTAACTTTGCTGGACTTACGAACAAATTGGACTTATGAAAGTGCTCTCAGAATGGAACTCGTTGGTATGTAGGGAACTTACTGTACTTCACTTTTCTGTTTTTGGTTTGTTTTAATTTAGGAAAACTTTCCATTCGACTCATAAATGTGTATCTTAATGGAGGAAGGAAAGAAAATATGAGATAATGACTAAAATATTTAAATCTTATTTTTAGCATGAGAATGCTGTTGAGAGAGATGAACCAGAGGCACATAAATATTCTACTTCGCGCCTAGCTCCTCCTGGCTTTGTTGTCCACTGACAACCTGAGATCTGACCAGATAATTGAGGAAGTGAGGAAATGTACTACAAAATTCTGTTTTTTTGGCTTCTCTCTATGATGAACAAATTGTTGTTAAGGACTTTACCTTTTAAGTTATTCCACTTATCATTACAGAAAGCTGTATACCTGCACAAGTGGTGGCTGCCATTGATATAAACACTGTCGCTAATGAAGTATACAAGTATAATTTTCCTCACACACAGTTACTGGCCAAGACAATTGAAGTGAGTAACAATATTGTTTTAATAAGTCTATATATAGCAAGGAAAATATAATTGAATACTGTAAGATACTGGTTTCTGGTGTCTTCATTTGAAGCTAAGTCATATATAAATGAAAAAGTTTAGGAGAAGGGAATTAAATTAACATTTTTTATTCTGTCAGAAGATAGCATGTTATTTTTTGCCTTTTTTTAAAATTTCTAGCTTTAGAAAAAGACAATCAATATTTTGGTCTCTGAGAGAAAGAATTGAAATGTAAGAATATGCTTGACTTCTAAATTCTTGGTTCTGTAATGATATTAAACTTTACTTAATTCTTTATTTTTAAGCATTACTCATGTGTAATATATATATAGCAGGAGTGAAAAAAAGAGAGTAAAAAAAGTGATTGGATATTACTTGTTGAATGCTTCTTGTTGAAGCCCATCAAAGTTAAAGATACTGTTTTGCCTGTGATGAACTCAGCAGAAGTGTTTAACACTTTTGTTATTTTTAAAATAATATGAAATTGTGTTTTTCTCCCAATTTCATGTCGTAAAAAATTTTACACACAAATTTCTCATGAAGCCATAATTTACATACAATAAACTGCCCTCATTGTAAGTGTGTAGTTTGAGTTTTGACCAATATATACTGTGTAACCACAATCGAGACTTAAAACATCTATCCATTAAGGAACACCCTAAAATGTTCCTTAATGCCTCGTTTTACTCAGTCTCTGACCCCAACCCCAGGCAACCGTTGATCTGCTTTCAGTCATTACAGATTAAATTTTCCAGTTCTAGTCATATCCTAAATAGAATCTTGAGTGTAATTTTTTTGAGTATGACTTCTCTTGTTTAGTGTAATGTTTTTTTGCATTTACCCACATTGTTGTTATCTATCAGTAGTTGGCTCTTCATTATTGTTCAGTGATATTCTGTACAGTGGAATATTTCATACTACAAAATGTATATCCATTCACACGATGTTTGACATTTAGATTGTTTCCAGTTTTTGACTGTTATAAAAAAGTTGCTATGAATATTCATGTACAAGTTTTTGTGTGGACTTTGTTTTTACTTCTTGTGGATATATACCTGGGAGTAGAATTGCTGTATCATATGGCAAATTTCTTTAACTTTATGAGAAAATGCCAACTGTTTTCCATAATGTTCATACCATTTTACAGTCACACAATCAATGTTTAAGTGTTTCAGTTGTTTCACATCCCTACCAACAATTGCTTTTGTCAATATTTTAGATATTAGCCGCTTTTGCGAGCATACAGTGGTATTGTGATTTTAATTTGCATTTCCCTGGTGACTAATAATGTTGAGTATTTTCTTCATGTGCTTATTATCCATTCTATGTTTTTCGTGATGAAATTTCTTTCCCAGTTTTTATTTGGTATGTTTGTGCTATTATCATTTAGTTTTAAGAGTTGTTTAAGTTTTCTGGATTCAAGTTGTTTGTCAGAAATATGTATGACAAATATTTTGTCCAAATCTGTAACTTGTCTTTTCATTTCCTTAACTGTGTTCATCAAAGTGCAGAAGTTACTTATCTTTTTATTTTTTTTTTATGGGACACTTTTTTTTGTGTCCTAAGAAATCTTTGTTTACCCCATTTTTTTCCCTGTTTTCTTCTAGAAGTTTTATAGTTTGAGCTTTTACATTTAGGTTTATGACCCAGTTAAAGTTACTTTTTGTGTGTAGTCTGAGGTAGAGGTCATTTTTTTTCCTAAGTGCATATAAAACTGGTTATTATAGCTTTATAATATGTATTGAATTCAGGCAACATAAGTTCTCAAACTTCTGATTTTCTTTTTCAAGATTATTTTGGCTACACTCTCATTTACACTTCTGTGTAAATTTCAGAATCAGCTTGCCAATTTCTACCAAAAAAAAGATATTTAGATTGGAATTTCACTGATTGGTTTTGGAAGAACTGATATCTTCATAAAAGAGAGTCTTCCAATCCATGAACATGGTATCTCTCTTCACTTATTTAGGTCTTCTTTAATTTGTATCAGCTATATTTTGTAATATTTAGTATACTAGTCTTACACTTATTTTTTTTTTATTAACCTAGTATCCTGTGGCTTTGCCGTATTTACTTATTAGTTCTGGTAACTTTAATATTGATTTTTAAGGATTTTTTAACATGTACAGTTATATTACCTGAGAAAAAAAGAGTTTTACTTTTCCCTTCCAACCAGTGTGACTTTTTTTCTTGCCTTATTGCATTGTCTAGGACGTTCTTGACAATGTTGAATAAAACGTGTGACAGTGGACATCCTTGCCTTCTTCCAGATCTTAGGGGAGAACATTCAGTCATTTATCATTTTGTAGATGTTAGTCGTATATTTTTCATAGATGCCTTTTATCAAGTTGAGGAAATTTCCTTTTATTTCGTTTTCTGAGAATTTGTATTATAAACAGGTTTTGAGTTTTGTCAAATGCTTTTTTTTTTTTTTACATCTTTTGACATGATTATATCATTTCCTTTGTATTCTGATAATATGGTGATCATATCAATTCCTTTTTTGAATGTTAAGTCAGTATTGCATTCCTGGGATAAATCCTACTTGTCATGATATACCATCAGTTTTATGTTATGCTACATCCCACTTGTTAAAATATTGTTAATTATTGTTGCATTTATCTTTGTAGGTGACTTTGGTAGTTTCCTCATAACATATTTGTATGGTTTTTATATTTATACATAGCCTTATATTTTCTGTAACAGTTTGTGAAGAACAAGTATCAGTTCTTCTATAAATGATAGAATTTCATCAGTGGAGCCACCTGGGCCTGGAGTTTTCTTTGTGGGAAGGTTCTTAATTATGAATTTAATTTATTTAATTGCTATAAGACATTATCATGTTTCTTAGCATTGTAGTAATTTTTTATGAGGAGCCTAACATTGTAGGTTTTACATTTTTGAGCGTTGGAGTTTACTGTAATCTTTTAAGGACTGTTGGATATTGTCCTCAGAGGCAGTTAATTTCAGATCATCTTGGTTCTTTTGAGGCTTATTGTTAAGCATTTCAAACTGGATCTGGAGTAGCTTTTACTGTAAGGCTAGTCTAATCTTACTGTTAATATATGGCCTTTCTTAGATTGCTATTAAATGCCCCATGTACTCAACTAGGTCTTGCTACTCTGGATGTTAACTCAAATGATTGCTTGCCCAGAGATCTGGGAATTTTTTTGGCTTACAACTTCCCAGTAATTGTTCCTTTTCCAGCAGTTTTTCTTTGCTCTCCCTCAAGGCATTTTGCCTGATGCATGCACCGGTTGATACTCAGCAAGACACTCAAGGGGAATGTTATGCAGATTTCTGCATCTCTTTCCCTGTGCAGCTTCTTTTTGTCTGGCACTCTGCTCTGCAAATTCTAGTCACTTTGATCTTGAGCTCCAACCTCTATCTTCTACTCATCTACATTACCAGGTACAGTTTGGATTTCCTTTCCCTTCACTGCAGAAAGTTGAATTATCTTCAAGGTTTTTTTTTTCCTTTTCTAAGGAATGGCAGTCCTGCTCTGTCTGTGGTCCAATTCCAATATCTGAAAACAGTTATTACATTTCTCCCAATTTTCTAGCTTATTTACACAACTCACAGGCAGAAGCAAAAGTCTCACAAATGCTTTTTTCAGTGAGATACAATTCATATCCCGTGAAGTTCACTGTTTTAAAGTCTACAATTCAGTGTTTTCTTGTTTTTTTCATTTACTTACAAAGTTATGTAACCATTACCACTTTCTAATTCTAGAATGTCTTCATCCCCCAAAAGGTAATCCTGTAGCCATTAGCAGTCACTCCCCATTTCTCCTTCCCTGCAACCCCTGGCAACCACTAATCTACTTTCTGTCTCTATGGATTTGACTATTCTAGACATTTCATATAAATGGGATCATATAATATGTGGCTTTTTTTGGTCTGGATTCTTACAATTACCATAATGTTTCCATACATCCATGTTGTAGCATGAATCAGTGCTTCATTTCTTTTACTGGCTGAGTAATATTCCATTATATAGGTATACCACATATTGTTTACCCAACAGATTTGTTTTAAGTTTTCTTTCAGCCAGTATGAAATGGGAACATTTCCTAGCTCTATGATTGGGTATCCAAAAGGTAGAAATAATCTACTTACGTGTTGAAGAACATCTATCCCTCGTATTGAGAACAGAATATCTTTCCCCCTGGGCATCATAGAGGGGAGGACTATGGGGACATCATCATCTTTCCAGTCACTGGTAGCAAATGCATTTCATAAACTTCATGGCAACGTACAGTCTACCTGTCTCATCACGGACGTAGGGCAAAAATAAATTCGGGGTCAGAAGAAAGATACCTACAAAAAAGTAACTTTGAATTTGACTCTAATAGGCAGATGATATGCATTGAGGTTCCAGAATTTCTCTGACACAGAGTATGATAGCAAAAGTTATTTTATTAGAAAAAATTAATCTAAATTTAAATTTAATGTAAATATTTAAAAGTTGATGCAGCCAAATGTCCAATTCAGCAAGAGTTTTCTCCCACTAAACAAAGTATAAAAAAACAACAAAATCTCAGTAAAGCACCCATTATGTTCACCAACTTAACCTTCCTTTCTGTTTTACCTTCTAAGAGAAACTGTGAAATACTTGACATATTTGGGGACTGATTGGCATTCCCAGCTACATGCCAATAGAAATTTGGGGGCATTTAGAATAACACATCTGTGTCCATTTTTCTAGTGGTAATTCTATTTCAGTACCAGTTTTAATAGGTGATAGTAAATTGTATGATCTGCATATGATATAAGAACACTAGGGAGAGGGAAGAATGGAGGTACCTCCAGGTCATTTGAAAGGAGAGAATCAGTTCATTAAAATGGTGTCTATAAGACAAAAGACAGTCTACCTTCCCACGGCTTTTAGTCTCTTCTAGGATGTTCTCTTCAACCCTGTTCTGACGTGGAGAGAGTGTACCATGTCCACGTCAAATATATCAGAACTACCTTGGGGGTCATGTTTAAAAAGGGGGTGGAAGGTTAATGGAGAACTTAGGAGTAATGAGAGACTTCAGGGATTTTAAGTTTCATGAAGCAACATATTCTGATCATTTGAACATTTACTTCATGCAAGTTATTGAGCCCTTAGGGGGAGCACAGATATGACTGAGAGATAGTCTTTACCTTCAGGAACTTACTATTTAGTGCATAAGTTGGACTTGTAAACAGTTTTCTTTGGGACCTCTGATTGACTGTGGCATGAACAAGATATTTCTTTTCTAAAACTCTATTTCTTTTCCTAATGGAAATAAGAAAAGAAAAGAAAAGAAAAGAGGGGATGGGAAACCATTATGAATGAAAATAGGATTTAGCCATAAACCAAAGCAGAAAAGAAAACTGGGAAGAGTAGTGTCAAATGCAGTGGTGATGAGACACAAGTGAATGAGGGTGGTAGAATTTCATGCAGACCTCTCTGTGTCCTGTGCAGAATTGAGAAGGAAAGAAGGACAAGGGAGCAGGCAAAACAGACCCAGCAATTGCTTGTTCAAAGTGAAGAAGAGACATTAAAAAATTCCAACTCACTGGGCTGAAAGCATCATTACAACCTCTGCAGACTTCCTGCTCATCCTAAATGCGAGAACATGGGTTAGGGACCAAGGCATGGTCTTCAGTTAAAGGCCTTTGTGGGTTCTTCCCAGAAAGTGTGGTGACAAATACCTGAATAGAGCTACTGCTCTTTCTTTCGCCTTTTTAGCAAACTTCTAGATTCAAGTGATCTCCATTAAAAAATTAATAATAATTAGAAAGGAGCCAGTATGAGACTCTCCTAGTATAGTACTTTTAAAAGGAAGTAACATAAACAAAAAAGCATAATATACAGCGAAAAATCATATCAAGAAGCAGAAGAAAATTACAAAAACATGTCTCCATGTGCTTGAAACCTTAAATAAAACTCAATATCTTTAAAACAAGAACTCAAATAAATGTATACATGAGATCAAAAAACAATAATAAGACAATAGATTTGAAGAGTATCAGTGGTCTGGGAAAAAAAAACAGATGAGAAAAATAAAACCATTATAGAAATGAAAGTCATGTCAGAATAGCAAACAGAAAATAAAACAAACAGGACAAAAATATTAACAGAAGTAGATGAAAAAAATTCCTAAAATAAAACCTCCAGCAACTCATGAACTGTAGTACCCATGAACCCTTACTGAAAAAATGACTCAGTCACTTAATCTAACTAAGCAAGAGGTGAATCAAAGTGGAGAACCCAGGAATAAAGCTGCCATGTTAGGAAAGAAATAATGGTCGGGAAGCAGGGTGAGAATGTTATGAATCTTTGCAGTGTAAGAATAATAATATAATTGGAGTAGGAAGGAAAAGTGAGACTCAAAAAATATGTCTGTTCTTTGAAAGATAAATGAAGCTATAGATTTTTAGGACATTATTTAATGTTGTTGCCAGGAGCTCAGCTGAGCTGTCAGGGATCAGAGTAGCTGATTAAAGCAACAGGGCAAAAATGAAAGAGTGAAGCCTTAATTACTTGCTGTGGTGGGAAAAGCAAGTCTCTAAAAAACAGAGAAAACGCCAACGCCCCCTGTTCCGTTTCCCCAGGGGACAGCATCCTGCTGGAAGGTGGGGTGATCAGCACAGACGTGGGGGTCAGCTCACTGTTGAGGAGCCCCTGGCATTGGGGGAGAGAGTGCGGGCAGTGGTGAGAAGGCTGGGAGTGAGAAGGGCCAAGCGTTAGTCATAGCGGGAGAAGTATCTTCAAGGGTTCCCCTCTTCCTCCTAGACGCAGGCCTTGGCAGAAATAGCTGGCACCTGAAGAGGGCTTTGTGCAAGGCCTCAGATAAAGAGACCTAGGAATGCAAATATACGAAGAGCATGAGCTGCTGGGGCCTGAGAGCTCGTACCCGCCCTGCCCTCAGAGACTGCAAGGTGCTGGCCTTGCACCAAGTCTGGAGCCGGGAGGGTGGCTTTCCCCTGACACCCGCTGGGTGAAGCCCTCCTCGTTGCCTATAGTCAGGCCTGAAACTTGTCTTTGTTGAATTTGTTACAATATTTCTTCTGTTTTGTTTTGGTTTTTTGGCCCCAAGGCATATGGGATCTTAGCTCCCTGATCAGGGATTGAACCCACATCCCCTACATTGGAAGGCAAAGTCTTAACCACTGGACCTCCAGGGAAGTCCCTCATGTAGGTTTTTAACCAGGAGCAGGATTCACCAGTTACAAAGATAAATAGTAATAAAACTAAAATCTGTAATTTATCTCTGAAGAAAATGGAAAATTACTAGGCACTACAATATAAATATGTGAGCAGAAACCTTGTCTGGTTTGTTCATTGTTGTATTCCCAGACTAGCACAATGCCTGGTGTGTCGTAGATGCTCTGAAATATTGGTGGATTAATTATGAACCTTGTTTAATGAATAACACATTGTGCCTAAAAAATGAAAAAATGTCAGGCAAATCATAACAAAGGATAACAGGGGTTTCCGAACTGATATGTATTAGGTAAGATCTGTCTGAAAGCAAAAAGCATTTACGAGTCATATAAAATTACTTTATAATGATGATTCGTACAGTGATCAAGAAAGATCTAATTGTCATGAGTATTCATGAACAAAATAACATCAGAGTTCATAGGGCAGGAAATGGTAGGAAATATCACTTAGTAAATTTTTATTGAAGACTTACCTTGTGCCACAAAATTTTATTTCTCTTTAGATTAACAATAAATTCACTAAAATAGTCAAAAGTTGTTGTTTTCTAATCTACCAAGGTCTTCCTAAAGTTTAAATGAAAATTAAGTATAAGAATAACCAGGAAGGTTTTTGAGAAAAGAAGTAATAAAACAAGTAGGGGGACAAACAAAGTTGCTCATCAACATGCGATAAACAGTGTTACCACATCGAGTGGATCTAATGTTCTCTGAAAGCAAGGATGTTTTTATTAGCTTGAATGGCCTGTTTATGGAAAAAGAATTTGATTTCCATTAGTGTTAAAATATCAAATGATTAACGTTAATCCATGCATCTCTGTAACTACTTTCTTGAATCCCAACACATTCATTGACGTAGAATGCTAGGTTAAAGACAGTTGTGAATGGTTTAATTGAGCGATTATGTTTTGCATAACTGTTCTGTCATTTGGGTTGTACTGTAAAAAAAAAAAATCACTCTTTCCAAGAATCCTTTAAAATTGTAAATTTTTTTATGTCTAACAGTATTGGAGGCATTAACTCTGTTTACTTCCTTTAGATTCTAGACTTAAGGATTCTCCTTATGTAAAAGATTGTTGTTTGATATTTATTTTCATTTTAGGAATTCAGCTTTAATCTGTTCACAATCAGTTGTGAGATAAATAAGTTGCTTTTCCTAATAGTCCTGTGCTGACCAGCTGTGTAACTTGAGTACGTGTGCTAATCTTACTGCCCTGCCCCAGGTTTCCTGACAGACTGTTGAGTGTATGATTTTCAGATTGTTTTCTTTAGAACTCTGGGATCCAGAGGCGCTTTAGGAACTTTTCAGTATTTAATTTTTATTTCTTTTTACATATATGTCTTAAACTACTTAAAACCCTGTGATTTAAAAACGATAGACATGTACATTCAAACTTTTAATACAGTAGAGAAAACTGATGTGTTCCCCAGGTTAAGTCACTCTTTTCAGAACTCAGAATAAAGCTTTTCCTGCTTTATTCACGAACTCAAACTTCTTAGAAATGTGTTGTAATTAGGAATGTTGTGATTCTGGGCTTATGGCTTTAAATTCCTGGGTAAGAGTGTACACTAAGAGAGCTTAATGAGAATTGGCAAACCCATGACCTGTATTTCTCTATGTTTGTCTTCTAATAGTGTATATAAAATAGGAGCAAAACAGTACATTTTAAAACTGTTTAGCCCCCCCCAAAAAAAAAAACGATTTAGCCCAATAGGGATTATTTTGATTAATCTTATCTACAATCTTTTGAGGTCCTTTGACTACCCACAACTGTAAAACAGTATAGTAATTGTGGATATCTGAAAATGGGACCTTTTTCCATTTGGTGATATATTGACAGAGACATACATGAAAGGGATGGTGACTGGTCAATACATCACGTTTTCTAAATAAATAATATTAATAGAGAGGTATTAAAAAATTCCCTAGATCCTTTGCTGCAAATCATTAATTATAAAATAAAGTTTTCCATGTTTGATTCCAGAAATCACAGCAGTCTTAGACTTGAGGTGTCATAGAGGCACAAAATACTTAGCATCTAGGAAACTAGCTTTCCAGCTCTGCTTTGGCTGGCTCTCGAGTTTGGGGGAAGTCACTTAATTTTTCATAGCTTCAGCTTACTGCTCGACTTTCTTCACAAAATTGCTTTGGAAAGTTAGTTTAACTAAAGTTTATTTAAAAAGTAGTAGGTGTTTTATAAACTTTTAAGTGTTATAAATAAAGTTAAGTGTCACAATTTCTGATGTATTTACTGGTAATTACTTAGCATTTTTCCTCTGCCCCCTTCTACGCATGTTTTTATATTTTTTCTTCCCCCCCACGTGTTCGTTCCTTAGGGTATTACACTAGAAGAGTTTGACAGATTATCTTTCAATATGATTTTAATGAGCCCTCCCTGTCAGCCATTCACAAGGTATGTATAAGAAATATTTCTCTGTTAGGAAGAGTACTTTTGAAGGACTCGTTCAATCAAATCACACTGTAATTTCAAGCACAGACACTTTGAAGTCCATCAGCTGCATTTCCTAGTCTTGAAATTTTTCATCAATAATTCCTTTTCTCTACACACATTTATAATTCAGCATTAATCATAAAGAAAATAGCAGTTACTGCCAGATGAACACAGTAATTTGGTCAATAGTAGGTATGCAGAGACTGTATGGTACCTCCTTAATACCTACCAAAGAAACGGTATTTATTTCTGACCCAAATTACCTTAAATTATTTAAACTAATGAGCATTCAGGAATATCTTCCAAACACTGATTAATCGAAGTAAATTTCCATAGTTAATATTCAAATCCTAAATTACTTACCTGTAAAATTTTAAGGCTAGTCAAGAATGCATTTGTAAAAAATAAAAAAAAAAGAATGCATTTGTGAATTTTAAATTTCTCAAAATTGATAGGTACATTTAATAATACATACAATTAATAAAATGACTTTTTAAAGCTGTGTTCCAAGAGAGCTTTTTATTATATGGTGTTTATTTGGCTATGTATTTCAGGGAATTATATTTTAGAGAAAATCTTGACTAGTCCCTCTTCATTTAGATACTTTAAATAATAATATTTCAATTATTTTAAGTAATAATGATAATAGTGATAACCCTCTGAGTGTCTTACTGGAGTATGTCATTTAATACAACAAGCTTATGGGATGCGCATTAGTATTATCATCATTTTACAGGTGAGTAACTGAGGCATAGAAAGGTTAAGTAACTTTCCCAAGGCCATACAATTAGAAAATGTCAGAGCCAGGACTTTTTGATTATTTTATAGTCCTATTAATATATAGGACTATTAATATATAGTCCCATTTAAACACATAATGTGATTTTAAATGGGATATAACATGTAGTAAAAATTCTAATTTAAATAAATATTCTCATGCTTAATTTCCATCCAAGTTTTGATTTATTTCAAGCTTTCTAGGAAATTAATTCCCCAGGGATTTATTGTGCACCTACACGTGAGGTATTGCTTTTGATGCTGTGGTTCCCATCCTTAAGAACTTATAGTCCATGGGGAATGAATGACAAATAATTATCTTATAATGTGATTTAAGGTATATAATAAATGAATGTTGAAACTGCCATGAGAGCATGGAGGAGAGAGGTGTTATGTTGCTGCATATACCAGGAGGGACGAATTCTTTTAGAGGTGATATCTGTATTGTGTCTGAAAGCAGGTTGGGAATTTATCAGTGAAGGCGGACGTTCCGCGTAAAGATGGCTCCGAGCCTGTGCAAGTGTATCATGGCCACAGTAAGTGAGAGGTTCAGGACAGAATGCAGCCGCAGTGCTGTGATGCCTCAGATATCACTGCAGTGGGGCCCCTGTGTCTTCCCTACTGCTGCTCCCACTCTGTATTAGCCCAACTCCAGCTGCTGACGGCTGCAGTGTCTGCTCCTGTAGTATGATCATCTTTGGAACACTGAGAGGAAAGGGACAAAATGAGAGGAAACCAAGATTTCTGAGGAATCTATTCAAGTCCACTCTAATCTCCCATCTGAGCCTCAGATCCACTGATGATTTTGGTCCTGCTGTCAGGTGTGAGGAAACTGATAACTGATGTCAAGTAACTTATTTTAGACCACCAAGCTAGTAAGTAGCAAGGCCTTAAACCCTAGTCCCCTGTTGCTACAACTCACGCCCAATATAAGTCTTCTTTTCTGCTTGCTTCTTGATCATATCGAATGTTACTTGCAAGATTTAACTGCTAGTCCAAATTCTGCCTGTTCACGTGACCTGTTTTGACTTACTTAGTCTAGCCAAGTTGCAACTCCTTCATGTAGAATCAAGCCTTCAGTTTCAGTCTCTCCTGTTTACATTGGACAAGATAGTTCTAGTTTTACCTGCTACCTTCATCTGCTTAGCTGGTGATTAGTTACCAATGCCATCAACTCTACACTGCCACCCTGCCCAACCAGCTCATTCATCTGAACTTTTGTTGTCTCACCTGGGGCAGGTGAGACATCAGCTAATTGTGTGTGTGTGTGTGTGTGTGTGTGTGTGTGTCTTTCCTGAACAAAGTGATTTTAAGAGGGTAATTGATTTTATTCTTTGTGGACTTCTTGTTCTTCTTTGCTTCATGCGAGTCATTTGGACATATTATCTTGTATTGATAATAAGTGTATTTATTAGACACGCAAGGCTTTTTTACATTAAATGAAAAAATATATTTTTGTTCTCTATAGCAACAGAGATGATCATATTTTTTGTGAGGACCAACTAATTTTAGTTCTCTGTTTTGACTTTTTAAAAGTGATTTGATATCTTTATGTAAGATTCTTGCTGAACTTATTTACTTTCCTTACCCTTTTAGAATCGGCCTGCAAGGTGATGTGACTGATCCAAGGACAAATAGCTTCTTACATATTCTAGACATTCTCCCAAGGTAAAAACTTAAATTCCTGTACAAGCTTACCTTAAATGTAAAACTTTACATCTGGAAGAACGTGGTGTTTGTCATTTTATAGAGATTAGCATCTTATACAGATTCTGTGCGAGTCATTTATCTTCTGTCCTGACTGATAGAGTAACTGCAAATGTTTGTCGGTTCCACAGTTGCCGCTAAAAGTGAGTGACAGGGCGTTACAGCCTAATAGCTGAATTCTGTTGCCTCTGCTCACAGTATTTGTGCAAATGATGCTAATGTTAGTGAATGCTGTTGCCCATGGCCTGGAAACTTGTGCTGCTAACCCTAGAAGCCTCCATTCTATGGAAATGTCAGCCCTTTGAGCTGTGCAAACCCATGTTTTCATTAAACTTCAATGGAAATTAACATTTCAAATGTTAACTTTATCAGGTGTGCCTTGTTTATGGGGGAAAGGAAAAAAATATGAGTTGCCTCCATCCCTTATAAAATTCTTTTATAAAAAGAGTTTGGACAATTACTTACCTCATATTTCCCACAAGTAAGGATTTTCTTTACTTCTTCTTAGTAATGAGATGTTTAGAATTCCATTTTTTTTTGTTTTGTTTTAGGTTACAAAAATTACCAAAGTATATTCTTTTAGAAAATGTTAAAGGTTTTGAAGTATCTTCTACAAGGTAAAAAAATGTATTTGTCCTGTGTTCATCTTAGACTTGGTATATTTTATAATAGGAGCTGTTATGAAATGAAGATCTTAAAAATAAATGTGTATATTCCGACATTTTATGTATGTTATGAAGTTTACTCGTTAATATTGATTTTGAATAGTTAGTAACGCGAAGTATCACAAAGTTAGGTTCAACTGATTCTTTCCCATTTTGATATGTTTGAATTTTTCTGGAATGATTTCTCAATTTTAGCTGCTTACATTGGTGCCTGTTTCTTTAGAAGCAGGAATGTTTTCGGTAAGAATTTGTCCTATTGACAGGCGTTTTCTGTCCTACAGTTGGGTTGAAGAAGCAAGCCCTGTGTCAGGCCCCTTTCAGACAGTAGCCCAGCTGGAGAGAATGCATCCAAGTCCTTGACTGACCTGCTGTCTATGACAGTGTTCCCTCATCTGATTGGCTACAGATATAGTTCCATTCCTATAGTAAGCTTATCATGAGTGGATTGGTGATTCTAACTCAGCAGTTTTATAAATTATCTGGTAGCTTTATTTATTTATAATAGGGATTATCTCTATTTTGAGAAATGTAATTTCTCAAGTACTGGACTTAAAAAAGACCTAGGATTATCCTTTTTCTAAACAACTTAAGTGGAGGTACAGTTTTCATGTAAAATGAAGTTTTATGTATAATATTTTATATAAGAACCCTATTTTGAACTATAGAGTGAAAGCTTTTTTCTTTTCCTTTGCCTTTCAGAGACCTGTTAATACAAACAATAGGAAATTGTGGCTTTCAGTACCAAGAATTTCTGTTGTCTCCAACCTCTGTAAGTACTACAATTGTAAATTCTTATATAAATTTTCCCAAAGGGAATTTGATTCAGTAAAAAGAATGGCTCCATTTTGGATAATATTATAGGTAAATCTTGCAGTTAGTTCTGACATGGTTATTACTTTCTCTATCTGAGTTTTATAGCTATATGTGAATTTTGTTTTTTTATGATTACTATACTATTCATAATGAATGTAAGAATGTCTATTTGACTTTTTACCTGGGAAATATAAAATGAAAGTGACTCATAGACATATGATTCATCTGATTCCATCTTTATTTCATTCAAATAAAGGTACAGAGTGACAGTTTAAAAGGTTTAAGAATTTGCTACAGAAAAGTCTTCCACAAATCGCTAATAGAATTTTGTCTGGCAGAAACTAATGTATAACTGTATGAGTTTTTTTACTAGGTGCTAAAAGTTGACACAGATCTCTTTAATATCCTGTAGCAGCTAACTGCCCTGTTGTACTTGCAGCTTGGCATTCCAAATTCAAGGCTACGGTATTTCCTTATTGCAAAGCTTCAGTCAGTGCCGTTCCCTTTTCAAGCCCCTGGTCAGGTATTATTATTATTATTGTTGTTATCATCATCATCATTATTATTTATCTGTTGTAAATATATCTCAGTCTGCTAATTTATTTTCAGGAACTACTTTGCGGAGGTTTTTTTTTAACATCTTTATTGGAGTATGTTTACAGAGGTTTATGTGTGTCCTCTCGTGCCTGTAATATAGACTATGCCTGAGGTCTGTCTTGTAGGCCTTTTCACCCTCCTGATGCCACTTTAATTGCTTGAAACAAAACCAGAAACTTTTCTTTCATCATTAGAAAAGAAAATAAGTTAAAAGTAAAAAAAATTGCCATTGGTGTTGTTATCCTTCTTTTCCCCCTATAATTTCTCTTCTGACCATTGACTCCTTTGCATCTATTATTTTTCTCCCTCAATAGAAGCCATTGACTACTTTTGATAAAATAGTGTACTACCTTAAAAATGGCTTGAGTATTTTCACACATCAGTTGCATTTTATTTGAAATCTATGCTGTTTAGCCTTAATTGATTAAAAAATGGTAATGATTAGCACAAGCTAGAATAAAATGCTCAATTGCTATCTATAGGATCTCTCATTATGCTAGCAATTTTATATGCTTCTGCTGAAAATTGGTGTGGATAACAGAGTTTCAGTGGTCCAGTGAAGCTCTCTATAACCCTCACAGGTAAGAACTCAAAAGTCATGTCCTACTAACAGGGCTTCAGTAGTATCATTTGAATCCCCGTAATACAATATCAGTATTATACAATACTGTGTTATATAATAAAATAGCAACATATCTCCCTTTAATAGTGGGCAGTTCCAAAAACGGCATGTAAAGTATGTGAACAAAGACTTCATCATTAAAAATTCCTGGAACTGTTTTTTCTTTCCCAAAATAGGACTTTATAAATGGTTACCTGTTTTTCAGGAACCAGTTTTTCCTGTGGGACTCAGGGATAGAAATAACCTTTCAGGGTGAAGAGTGCTTTTCATTTTTAATTACTAATTTTCCTTTAGATCATAGGTATGTTCTAGTTTTGTTTTTTTTTTAATTGAAGGGGAATGGCAAACTTTGATCAAAAACACATTTTCTGGAAATGTTCCTGTTGCTTTTTCAACTTCTTTTCCAAATATAATGCTGTCTCTGTATTCAACATACTTCCTATTACTTTGTTGAATGGTTTTATTAATTCAGAAAGCAGTAATTTCAGGAGATAAATCATCTATAGCCTGATACCTATCACTGTATGATGAAAAACTTGTAATAACTTGTATAAATACTAGTAAACCTCAATTTCTATCTTTTTAATAGCAACTCAGTAAAAGCTAAAGAATTTTTTTACATAATGTTGAGTGGATGTTATTAATATGTCTTTTATTTTTAAGAAAGCTTTTGAGAGTTTGTGTATTTTTACTTAATGCCAGGTACTGATGGAGTTCCCCCAAACTGAATCTGAACATCCACAAAAACATGCGATAGATGCAGAAAACAAAACTGAAGAAAAGAAAATTGAAGAAAAGAAAGTTGAGCCAAATATTTGCTCTGATAGCAGCACACAATGTTCTGGAAAAGAAGCCATTCTTTTTAAGCTTGAAACTGCAGGAGAAATTGACAGGAAACGTCAACAGGACAGTGATCTCTCTGTGCGAATGCTAAGAGATTTTCTTGAAGATGACATTGACATGAATTCATACTTTTTACCGCCAAAGTCATTGCTGCGATATGCTCTTTTGTTAGACATTGTTAAGCCCACATCCAGAAGGTCCACATGCTTTACGAAAGGGTAGGTTTTAAAGAGTCTCTGTTCATGGCATATCCAAAATAACCAGGTTTTCGTAACTATTGTTTCTCTTAGTTCTTCTCAAAACAAGGAGCATTTTATAAAATGTTTCTGCTAGAATGATTTTTTTCACCCTTAATCGCCTGCTTGCGTGTTCCAGTAGAATGCACAAGTGAAAATTCCTTCTGGCAGAACCCACAAAAGTGCTCATAGAAGACAATGCCATCGTTTTGTGACCTTCATAGGAGCTTAATTACCCACAGTGGAGACATGGTTTCTATAGATGGTGAATTGCTAATTTTTTAGCACCTTTCTTTTTATAGTACCTCAAAAATTTCTGTCTACTTTTATGATCAATGTACAAGAAGAAATTAAATTTTAATATCAAGAAATAACATTGAATATCCTGGAGCACATTATAGCATGTTTAACTTTTATTTAGTTTTTTGAATTAATAGTGTATTCTTATAGTTCAAAATTCAAAAGGAACTAAGATTGTAAGACTCCCTTCCAATTCTGCCTCTTGTTCATCCAGTTTCCCTCCCTACATGCAACCGATGATTTCAGGTTACTCTCTAGTCTTCCAGAGGTATTGCATGTGAGGTGTGTTTAAATATACATGTATATTTTTACCCCCTCCTGTAAGTAAATGGTAGCATACCATATTCATTATTATGTGCACTTTTTTTCATTGCACAGTATAATTTGGATACTATTACCTATGGGTGCTTAAAGAACTTTCGTATGTTCATAGTATAGGTATATCATAATTTCTCTTACTGGTTACCTGTTGATGGGCATTTAGGGGACATCCTTTGGATTATTTCTCAAGAAATAGTGTTTTTCAACTTTTTTTGTTGTTTTTCCCTGGTCTGGGAGGATCCCACATGCCGCGGAGCAACTAGGCCCATGAGCCACAACTACTAAGCCTGCGCGTCTGGAGCTTGTGCTCCGCAGCAAGAGAGGCCGCGATAGTGAGAGGCCCGCGCACCGCGATGAAGAGTGGGCCCTGCTTGCCACAACTAGAGAAAGCCCTCGCACAGAAACGAAGACCCAACACAGCAAAAATAAATTAATTAATTAATAAACTCCTACCCCCCCAAAAAAATTCAAGCCTTCTCTCTTTACCTACTAGCTAGTTGTCTTGTACAAGACACTATGCCCCCGACATAATCGTACCAGGCTCACCCTGACTTTATCATACCCTGCCCTTGTACTTTCAGGGCAATGGGTTTATTGCTTTCCATTACCTTAAAAGACTTCACTCAGCTGTTGTATATTTCCAAGTCTGCTAGGTTCTGTTTAGGACTCTCATAAAACAGGAGTTAGCAATTTTGTAATAAAAAACAACTTTGAAATTCTTTTATAATTATAAAAATGGTATAAAAGAAGCCTTATTGTAGAAGTCTATTTTAGTGTAGATAATATAAACACACACACACACACGTGATACATAAGAAAACAGCTTTTCTTTGATGGTGACTTTCTCTAATTTCTATTTTAAATTCATCTATTAGGAAAAAATGTCAAACAGCCAGCTTGGCAATGATCTTAGGGAAAGAAATATTACGAATACCTTGCATTTCTGTAGTGTTTGGTATTTTTAATACATTTTTAACAATAGTCTGTTTTATGATAAAGAGTAAAAACATACAGTGTTACAGTAAGAGGCAGATGCACGTTTGGTGGGCCTGAGTTTGTCATGAGACTGGAGAGTACGGTTTTGGGTTCATGAGAAGAAATGATGGTTCAGGCATTCTAAGGAAAGAGCAGCAATTTATTTTCACCTACATAACATTTGGTCTAATGTGGCAGGGATGTCAGTGTTGAATAGCATTTAGACATAAAGTCATAACAAATGCATACTTTCTGTGCATTTAAATGTGATGAACATTTAAAAAATGACAATAATGTATATGCAGACTAGTATTTATGCAACAAACACTATGCCAAGTTTAGTGTCTGAGAATTTTCAACAGACTGATCTTATGTCTTTCACCTGGTAAGTTTTTTAATTACAAAGCATATTTATGTGATATTATTTAGAATATTTCAGAAGGATGTATTAACAACTATGTAAGATTGATTCATTCAAGAAATATTTAAGAAATTTAGCATTAGCAAATATATTAGATGCTACAAAATATTTGTGTTAATTTTTTAGTTACGGACGCTACCTAGAAGGGACAGGATCTGTGTTGCAGACCACAGAGGATGTGCAGGTACTATGCATGCTGCAGAACTAAAATATTTGAAAATTATTTTAAATAAAATTATCTTTAATACTTAAAATTTGAGAATGTTAAAATAAGTTTACATGTTCAACTGGAATGAATATGTGTATATAATAATTATTTACTATAGAATAAAACTTCTTGTTGCTAGATATGAGTATATGTACAAAAAGTCTTTTATGTTTTTACTTTCTTTTTTTTCTTCTTACCTTTTGTTTTTCTTTCTGTTCCATAAAGAGTAATTTGAAGTGCAGGGTACAGCACCTAATGTTCTCTAAAATTATGCACAAATATCTTAGTATTGGAGCCTTCCTTTGGAGCACATACTATAAAAATGCCTGCTAGGGAAAAAAATCTATATTTTAGGAAGGCTTTTTATTAATACTTCAATTGCTAATTCTTTACGGTATCATGGTTGAATACAAGCTTGATATATTGCAAGTTTTATATACTTCTGAATAATTTTGAAGTGAAATCACATCATCTTCTTTTATGCTGATTTAAACTCTTACTGTTAATAAAATTTACCCTTGCTAAAAACCCTATCAGAGACAAACGAATGTCTGGATTTGAGAAGTCATATTTATTAAATATATTTTATCATTTTAAGAAAATACCTTAATTTGATAAAACTGGTCATAAACAGTAAACATTTTAATGGCTGCTTATTTGCTTTGTAAAATCGACTTATTGGTTGACCAAGTTTCTTTTTTGTATCTTTCACTACATTTCTTTTATGTTATATTGTCATTTATTATTTCTATTCTTACGAGTTAATTTTTGAGGGGCCAAAAATGACAGATACACTGAGAGTATCCTGATCTATTCGGCATTAAGGTTTTGTTTGTTTTCTGAGTTTACCTGGCCCCTGATGAGCCAGTTACACAGTTCATTGCACAGAGATGTTTTTACCCTGTGGTGCCATGTGTTACAGAAGACTATGCGTCTGTCATTTTGAAACTGTCTCACAATAGACGATATTATCTTAACAAGTCTAATTGCACTCTACTTTATTAGTTATTTTGGATGTTTTCCTACAGATTGAGAATATCTACAAATCCCTTACCAATTTGTCACAAGAAGAAAAGATAACAAGATTGTTAATGCTTCAACTTCGATTTTTCACTCCTAAAGAGATAGCAAATCTCCTTGGATTTCCTCCAGAGTTCGGTATGTGGGATACATGCAGACCCCAGCTTTCACTGATTAATGATCTCAAAATTCATTAGGGACTCGTGCGTAGTTTATGAATAAACCCTTGCCCAGACGGATGTGAGAGCGCTTCCTTTCCTGATTGTGCCATCTTTGACATCTTCCTTCCCTCCTGTGTCTGCTTTCTTCATAACCTGCCCTAGTCCATTCCCTTCAGACTCAGTTCCCCTTCTCCTTTCACTCCAGTAATGGTTCCAGGTGCTTTGCAGGAACAGAAGGGCCAAATCAGCAATTCCTCACTTCTCCCTACAGATGGTTGTTCATAGCATCTCTTTCTCGAATTTATTTTTTTGCTTCTAGGAGTACTATTCGAATAACCTCACACTAGATCTTATGAAAGAATGCCTAGAATTGTCTTTGTTTTAATGAAGAAATTAACAGGCAATTGAGGAATTTATTTTTGTGTGGTGGGGAGGTATGTATTTGTACTTCTACTCCTTGGAGATAGCACTCTTATCAATTATATAATTGATATAATTGATTCCTTCCCTACAAGGTTTCAGTGGAGAAAAGAAAAAGCGGAGAGGTGGTCTAGAAAGGAACTTTCCTAATGGAAAGTAAGGGTGACTCAGGAGCACAGATGCCAGAACTGACACGAAGTTAGGGAATCTGAAGACAGACTCTCAGGAAGGAAAATGAAGATACCGCTGCCAAGGGAGAAAGACAAGTAGTGAGGAAAGCCAGGGATTGTTGCTATTAAGAGACTGGACACAGCACCTTTGCCTCTTAGAGCACCCCGCCCCTCCCTGGTCCCGCTTCCTTGGCGCTGCTGCTCTTGCTGTGTGGATGCCATCGGTTTCCTGGGCTGCAGTGGGTGTGTTCCTAGTACTTGGCTCATGGGAAGGGAGAGACACAGACCTCCCTCACATGCTTCCAGGGCTGCACAAGGAGGAAATGTGCTTTTGATAACTGATTGGGAGCTTGAATGCAGAAAAGCCAAACTTCGCTAAATCTAATGTTGTTGTAATATTAATACAGTCCTATTCTTGAAGAACATCATGGGTTAAATAGACCATGTTTTAAAATCTAAATAATGCATTTACAGTTGAGGTTTGGAAAGCATCTTTTTGTACACTGGGAACAAACTGCCAACAGAATTTGACTAGCCTCTTGGTAATTGATTGTCCAAGCATAGTCACAGCAACCAGGTTTATTTTGTACTCTGCCTTTTTCTTGGTGATCTCATTCAGTTTGAAACATCCCGGGGAGTGTTTTTTAAGAAAACACAGACTTTCCGTGTCTTAGTTTATGTCACAAAGTGAGTGAGAACATCAGTAAAACAAAGAACTGAGGATTGGACTCAGGAATTTAATTCCCAGTCTACTGTCGTGGTTACTTTTTTTTTTTTTTTTTCGTATTTTAGGATGAGCAATCAAAGGTATTTTCTGTACTACTACAGAGAGAAAAGAGATTTACTGTCAAACAGCAACTAATTTCTAAGTTTTATTTGAGTGCTTATTTTTTCAAGCAGTAGCAATCACTTTGGTAATAGTGAAATTTAGCACAGACCCAAGAGTCCGACTGACCGAGTGTGAACCCTAGCCCTACCGAAGCCACTCTCTGCCGTAGTTTATGCATCTGTAAAATGGGGATAATTATAGCACCGACTTCATAGGGCTGTTGTAACAGTTAAGTGAGTTAACGTATGTCACATGCTTACAACCTATCTGACACATAATATAAAATTCGTGCTTTTATATTTTAAATGATAGATGTTATAGCCTTTACTTCATAAATATTTTTTCTCAGTATTTAAAAATATCTAAGGGGTAAAATAGGATTTTTCGAAGTTCTCTGAAAACATATATATAATACATGAGAGAAAGCCTTTTTCATTGCTTTACCGTATTTTAATATGTGACATATGTGTATAGTCAGTGCCCTGCTGTCACCACTGAGCAGCCCTGTGACAGAACTGTCCTGCACGTGTGCCTCTGACGTCACGGACCCTGGGTCCAAAATGGGCATTCTTTGAGTTGCTTGTCCACCAGCCATGATGGATTTGCATTGATTCTCCCACACATTTTGCCCTGGTTCTCTCTGTGGCCAGTGGCACACATTCATGAGACAGCAGGCTTTGGAAGAGACAGACACTAACCGACACTTACTGAATAAAAGCTGCTCTCTTGACCTTGTTAATTCTAGGTTTCTTTGCTTTTGAGGATTATTATTTTTAATGTACCTAAGTTTTTAAAAAGTCACCTTTTAACTTTACAAATTTATGTAATTCTTTGCACAAGTGAGTTTAGATTTTAATATCTATGTATAAAATACACACATGCATATGTATATATGTGTATATATGTATGTGTATATATATATAATTTTTACAAAGCTGACCTGTTTGTTTTCAGACATCTCTTCCCCTCTGATATAATATTGGTATCTCAAGGCATCGTCCTAGGGGTAGTCTAAAAGTTTGTAGGTATTTCTGCCTCTGGCTACTTTGAAGTAAATAATTTGAGATGACTAATGTGCTTGCCTAAGACATATTTTCTTTATAATAGCAATTTTATGATCATGCTCAATTGCAAATATCATTTTATTATGGTAATCACTGTTATTTTATTGCAGTAAGTATAATGTCTAGTGTTGATGAAGCAATTTTATCAGGTTTTGAAATTTTGCTATTTTTAATGCTCTTTAATTATTTCCTTTCTTACCTGATTTGCTTTTCCTATATTTAATTGCTATGCCAAAGGATTCTGAATGTGAAATTCTGTAATTGTAATTAAGATTCTGGCATCCACTCTTACGCATGGACAGTCTTTTACGGTGGTATGTGCAAGGTTTTGTTCCAGCAAATGTAGTATCTGTGGGCCATTTTGTTTTGCAAAAGAATGTAGCAAATTGAACTTCAGTATGAGAATGTCAGTTTGTGGAAGCAGAATGTAAAAAAGCAACTCTGAGGGACTTGTATCCAGAATATATAAAGAACTCTTATGACTCAACAATAAAAAGAAAAATAATCCAATTTAAAAGTGGGCAAAGGATTTCAATAGACATTTCTCCAAAGAAAATAGATAAATGACCAATAAGCACATGAAAAGATGTTAAACATTATTAGATATTAGGGAAAGGTAAATCAAAACCACAGTAAGATACCACTTCACAAAAAGACAGACAATAACAGTGTTAACGAATTGTGGAGAAATCAGGTCCCTTGTACACTGTTGGTGGGAAGATAAAATGGTGCAGCTGCCTTAGAAAGCATTCTCCTCAAATGTTAGACACAGAGTTACTGTATGACCCCACAATTTCACCCCTAGGTGTATATCCAAGAGAACTGAAAAAAGCTTAACACATACATACATACGTACATGTTCATAACATCAATGTTTATAATAATCAAGAAGTAGGGGAAAAGCCCAGATGTCTATTAATGAATGAATGAATAAATAAAATGTGGTATATCCATAAGATAGAATATTATTCAGACAGAGAGAGGAATGAACTATTGGTACATGTTATAACATGAATGAGCCATTTTTTCCCTCGGATCAGATAATTTTTACTGATGTGCTTGATGTTTGAGTTACACTATATTTTATAGTCGTATTATACAACATACATAATATTGTGAATACATAATGTTATTATAAGGACTAAGATATTAAACATAGAATACTTGGCTTTTAAAAAATATTCCAGAGTCAACATGAATGAACCTTGAAAGCACTACGTGAAAGCAGCCGGAGACAAAAGACAACATATTGTATGGTTCCATTTGTATGAAGTGTTCAGAATAGGCAATCTCTGGAACAGAAAGTAGATCAGTAGTTGAGGGGCAGGGAGGGGACATGGAGAGTGACTGCTAATGGGTGCCAGCATTCTTTTTAAAAAAAATTTGTATTGAAGTATATAATTAACATATAACATTGTATTAGTTTCAGATGTACAACATTACAACATAATGATTCAACATTTGTATACATTGCAAAATGATCACCCACCATGATAAATCTAGTTAATATCCATTACCATACATCGTTACAAAATTCTTTTTTCTTGTGATGAGGACTGTTAAGATCTCTCCTAGCAATTTTCAGATATGCAATACAGTATTGCTAACTATAGTCACCATGCTCCACATTGTATATCCCCAGGACTTATTTATTTTTATAACTGGTAGTTTGTACCTTTTGACCCATTTCACCCATTTTTCCCCCACCCGTGCAACCACCCATCTGTTTTCTGTATCTATGACCTTGGTTTTTAAAATTTGTTTGTTTGCTTGCTTTGGTTTTTAGATTCCACATATAAGTGAGATCATACAGTATTTGTCTCTCTGACTTCGCTTGGTATAATACCCTCAAGGTTCATTCCATTCTTTTTTATGGCTGGGTAGTATTCCATGGTGTGTGTATGTGTGTGTGCATTTTCTTTTTTCATTTACCCATCGATGGACACTTAGGTTGTTTCCATATCTTGTCTGTTGTAAATAATGCTGCAATGAACATGGGGGTGCACGTATCTTTTCTAATTAGTATTTTTGTTTTCATTGGCAAAATACCCAGGGTGGAATTGGTGGATTATATGATTGTTCTATTTTTAATTTTTTGAGGAACCTCCATACTGTTTTCCATAGTGGCTGCACCAATTTAAATTCTCACCATCAGTGCATAAGAGTTCCCTTTTCTCCATGTTCTTTCCAGCTCTTGTTATTTCTTGTCTTTTGGATAATAGCCATTATAACAGATGTGAAGTAATATCTCATTGTGGTTTTGATTTGCATTTCCCTGATGATTAGTGATGTTGAATATCTTTTCATGTGCCTATTGGCCATCTGTATGTCTTCTTTGGAAAAATTTTTATTCAAGTCCTCTGCCCATTTTTTAATCTGATTATTTATTGTTTTGCTGTTGAATTTTATGACTTCATTATATAATTTGGGTACTAAACCCTTATCAGATATATGATTTGCAAATATTTTCTCCTGTTCAGTAGATTGCCTTTTCATTTTGCTCATTATTTCCTTTGCTGTGCAGAAGTTTTTTAGTTTGATGTAGTCTCAGTTGTTTATTTTTGCTTTTGTTGCCTTTGCTTTTACAGTCAGATCCAAAAAACCGTGGACAAGACTGATGTCAAGGAATTTACCACCTACGTTTTCTTCTAGGAGTTTTATGGTTTGAGGTCTTACATTCAGGTGTTTAATTCATTTGGAGTTAATTTTTGTGTATGGTGTAAAATAGTGGTACAGTTTCATTCTTTTGCATGTATCTGTCCAATTTTCCCAACACCATTTATTTAAGAGACTTTCCTTTCCCCATTGTATATTCTCAGCTCCCTGTCATAAATTAATTAACCACATATGTGTGGGTTTATTTCTGGGCTGTCTATTCTGTTCCTTTGATTTCTGTGTCTTTTTATGCTAATGTCATACTGTTTTGATTACTTTAGCTTTGTAATGTAGTCTGAAGTCAGGGAGCATCGTGATGCCTCCAGCTTGGTTCTTCTCCCTCAAGGTTGCTTTGGCTACTTGGGATCTTTTGTGATGCTGTAGGAATTTTAGGCTGTGGTTTCTATTTCTGTGATAAATGCCATTGGAATCTTGATAGGGATTGCATTAAATCTGTAGGTTGCTTTGGATAATATAGACATTTTAACAATATTAATTCTTCCAGTTCATGAGCATGGAGTACCTTTATTTGTGTCTTCAATTTTTTTCATCAGTGGTTAAATTTATTCCTCAGTATTTTATTCTTTTTGATGTGACTGTAAATGGGATTGTTGTCTTATTTTCTCTTTCTGATAGTTTGTTGTTAATGTACAGAAATCAGATTTCTATATATTGATTTTGTATACTGCAACTTAATTCATTTATTCTAACCATGTTTTGATGAAGTCTTTAGAGTTTTCTATGTATAATATCATGTAATTTGCAGATGGTGATAGTTCTACTTCTTCCTTTCCAATTTAGATTCCTTTTATTTCTTTTTTTGCCTAATTGTTCTGGCTAGGACCTCTAATACCATGCTGAATAAAAGTGGCAAGAGTGGGTATCTTTTTCTCGTTCCTGATCTTGAGGAAAATTTTTAGCTTTCATTATTGAGTATGATGTTAGCTGTGGGCCAGCTTTCTTTCTGAGGTGATGAAACTGTTCTGACATTAAATAGTGGGGATGTACGCAAAACTCTGCAACTATACTAAAAACCACTGAATTGTACCCTTTAAAAAGGTGCATTTTAGGGAATTCCCCAGTGGTCCAGCAGTTAGGACTCCTCGCTCTCATTGCCGAGGGCCCAGGTTCAATCCCTGGTTGGGGAACTAAGATCCCACAAGCCATGCGGCATAGTCATAAATGAATGAATGGATAAATAAATAAATAAATAAGTCTCCCTTTAAAAGAAAAACTGCATTTTATAGTATGTGAATTCTGTCTCCTGAAGGCTGTTATTAAATAACTGAAATAATGGTAGCCCCTGCTTTTCCTAAAATGTACTAGTGCTCAGATTTCTATTAGTTCTGTGGATGTTATGTGTGTACGTGTGTGTACTGAGCAAATATGATAAGTGATATGATAATATCACATTGTGTAAGCAATGAAATGTTATATAATATTTTTGGCTCCAAATTCTCATTTGTTAATTGAACTTCATGGAGACCTTAGGGACTTATTTATGTAAATAACCACGCTGCTTTTACTAAAGAATGAATCCTTTTATCTCTGGAAGTTAATATTGCAAGTGATCGTATTATAAATTGTTACCTTTCTTTTTCTAGGATTTCCTGAGAAGACAACAGTCAAACAGCGTTATCGTCTACTTGGAAATAGTCTCAATGTGCATGTAGTAGCTCAACTAATCAAAATCCTATGTGAATAATTTTTAAGTAACTCTGAAAGATGGTGGCAGTATTCCATTATATCCAAATAATAATTCTGAAATTCTTTTTTGAATTAATTTTGACAAAATTCAACTAAATTATCTTATTCTCTCTTTAATAAGAATTTGGATTTATCAGGAAAATGCCGTTTTGTTTCCTTAAGTTTATATTACTGTGTTTTGTAAGGTGAAAATTATTGTTATCCTTTAGGAGAATATCTTTTTATATGAAATTGTTAAATATATATGTAAAATATCCCCTTAATAATATTATGGTATAGACAAATTTAGGAACATTAGAATTTTAATGTCTACATGAATATTTTGTAAAGTGTCATAACAGGTGTACTATATGAACTTGAGAAACTGTATATTGTGTATGTTAATTAAAGAAGTTGCTTTATGAATCTATCATTTTACTTTTTTAAAATAATTCTTCCTATTTCTAAAATGATGATTCTAATTCTGCCCTGTTTAAAATATTGAACGTTTTACTTAATTTCAATTTTTTAAACATTCCTTTATTTTATCTAAACAAATGTGTATAATATTTTAGACCAAATTATCATCATTTACCTTCTACAACAGTCTGAAGAAAATCTCAGAAATAGTAATCCTAATTCTTGATTACCTCTCCATCGGTATGCCATAGAAAGTGTAGGTGCACATTATTTAATTATCTTTAATTCTGCTTCCTTCTGAAAGACAAAACTCACTGTCCCTTTTTCATTTGTACATACCTACCTGTAGTTTGCTATCTTCAGAGCTTGCTTTTGTCTTCCTTTTCAGCTTCTTGTTATAAGTTGAATTTGCCATCATGATCTAAGGAATGTAGCACAGCATTAAGATTTTAGGGAGGGAACTCTGCCTTCTGACCCCATTCCACATACCTATTCTGTGAATTAACTTTTATAACTTTAACTTTCTCTGACTCTCCCTCTCCATAGACTTCTTGGAATTAGGACTCTAATCAGACTAAATCTTGCATCATAAATCCTGTGGTTTTGATTTTGGTGATAAAATCAAGTGACAAATAGAAGAGAAATGAAAAGAAATAAGATGAGAAATTTTTTCACAAAATTTTAATTCATATTTTTATTCTTAAAAAACAATCATCCTTATATGGAAAAATTGGAACCCTATGCATTACTGATGGGAATGTGAAATAGTGCAGCCTCTATAGAAGATAGATGATAATCCCTTTAAAAAAATTAAACACAGAATTACCATGTGATAAAGCAATTCCACTTCTAGGTATATACCCAAAAGAATTGAAAAGAGGGACTAAGATATTTGTATACCAATGTTCATTGCAGCGTTATTGACGATATTCAGCTGTAAAAAGGAAGGAAATTCTGACACGTTACAACATGGATGAACCTTGAAGACATTATATTCAGTGAAATAAACCAGACACAAAAGGACAAAGTCTGTATAATTCCATTTATATGAGGTATGTACAAGAGTCAAATTCATAGAGATAGAAAGTAGACTAGTGGTTACCAGGGCTCAGGAGACCAGGGAAATGGGAGTTCATGTTTAATGGGTGTAGAGTCTCTGGGGGAGGTGCCAGAGTTCTGGAGGTGGATAATGGTGATGGTTGCACAACACTGTGAGCGTACTTAATGGCACTGAATTGCATGCTTGAAAACTGCTTAAATGGCAAATGTTATGTTATGTGCATTTTATCACAATTAAAAAAAACAAACATTCCCCACCACCATTTTTTCAGAAGAACTCATAGATAAACATGGGAATAGGGAAGCTGTAGACCAATGCATATATGATCAACTATCACTGTCTACATTTTGTGTATGTGTTTAAAGATAAACCTTAGTACAAGTCTCGTAAATGATAGTATACAGCTATCTGAAATCACTTTGGCACACTTTCTCTGTTTTCCTCACTGATGAAAAGATTCTTACCAATAAGAAGGTTCAGAGTTTTACTATGATTATGCTATAATTATAGTGTCCTGTGCCCCACTGCGCAATGATATAACAAAATGTGTTGAGTTACAGTGCACCAGGCAGAAACATATGAAGGCTCTGTGGCGACATGTGCGTACAAACTAGGAGATAAAATATAGCTTTGTGAAAATTTTTAAATTATTGAAGTACATCCATGGGCAGATTGTGATTCTTGCCCTTAATTAATTATATATAATAGCAAGCACAAAATTCATACATTAATGAAGATATATTTACCAGAGTATCACTTAATTAGCATATATATACACATCTTGGAAATTCTGATATTTGGACTTACTGTAAGCTTATTCAACATTTTGGAAAATATAGGCTCTCCTTTTAAAAAAACAATAATTAAATCTTTGCCATTTCTAACAGGAAACTGATTTTTTGTTCTCCCCTTTGCAGCACTTGTGCTCTTTTATTTCTTTCTTAAATTTTTTTAAAAAATTTATTTATTTATTTTGCACATGGGCTTTGTCTAGTTGCATCGAGCAGGGGCTACTCTTCGTTGTGGTGCGCGGGCTTCTCACTGCCGTGGCTTCTCTTGTTACGGAGCACGGGCTCTAGGCGCGCGGGCTTCAGTAGTTGTGGCACGCGGGCTCAGTAGTTGTGGCTCGCGGGCTCTAGAGCGCAGGCTCAGTAGTTGTGGCGCACAGGCTTGTTGCTCCACAGCATGTGGGATCCTCCCGGACCAGGGCTCGAACCCGTGCGCCCTGCATTGGCAGGCGGATTCTTAACCCCTGCGCCACCAGGGAAGCCCCCACTTGTGCTCTTTGAAATGGTTTGCCAAATAATCATAAATTATTTATTACCCCGCTTCATATTTTTAGTAAGTTTTCCATACCTAAATATAATGCATGAGATAAATCAATTTAAACCGAATGAATCATATTGGAAAATGATTTTGAAGAGGAGTTATGTAGTCATAGGAGAAAGAGCCAGTGCTTGATCATCTTAATCCTTAGTGGCAGGCAGTAGAGCCGAATGATGAGGGCGGTGAGTCACCCTGTTACTGAGGGATCAGCTGGCCCTCTGCAGGTTCAGAGTCCCCTGAACATTGTGTTCTGGCTAGTAAATCAGACCTGCACAGTAGGCACTGCCCTGTGCCTTGAAAAGTGAGAAAATACCACTGACTATCAGCCAACTTGCTCCCCCTCACAAGACAGAGCCTTTTAAGGAGACAAAACCAGTAGTTGAGATTGTGAAAGTTGACGGGCCACCTAGCACTAAAATTATTTTTTTGAGGTATTGGGCAAGATTCTTTAACAAAAATCACAGTTTGTCTTTTGTTCTAACCTCAACCTAATTTGGGTCAGAAGTTATTAAATTGTAGGAGGCTTTTGAGGATAGATGAGTGAAGCTAAGCACAAATGAAACTGGTTTGATTCTAGCTCTAGCAGTACACAATAAAGAAGCATCCGCCATATGAGCCAGCCTCAAGCACGTACTGAAGAATGCGTTCTGTGGGCCAGCTGCCGTGTCTGCACCCAAACTAAAGTGGCTCTGGTTGCTCGTTGTTTTTTTTTTTTTTTTTTTTTTGCGGTACGCTGGCCTCTCACTGTTGTGGCCTCTCCGGTTGCGGAGCACAGGCTCCGGACGCGCAGGCTCAGCGGCCAATGGCTCACGGGCCCAGCCGCTCGGCGGCATGTGGGATCTTCCCGGACCGGGGCACGAACCCGTGCTCCCTGCATCGGCAGGCGGACTCTCAACCACTGCGCCACCAGGGAAGCCCTGCTCGTTTTGTTTTGATAACTTTATAATTTAAAATCAAAAGTTAAAATCAACAACTTCCCAAATAAGCCAAGATAACACAATAAGCCCATATAGGTAAAGTAGTTAAAGGATGTTTTTCTGAGTTGGTTATGTTGTTGAAAAGGTTAACTTTTCATAATTTGGTTTTCGGCTTGGAACTATGACTGTTTGAGGCCACCAGTTGTAAACTGACTTGCTAATAGCTTTGGCCTTTGAAATTGAGTGAGTGTTGTAGGTTTCAGCAGTTTCTTATAGACTGACCTGGTTATATAATTTTTCAAGACAGCCTTGGAACTTCCCTGTACTGGAATTCTTTTCTTCTCAGGTTCTACTGTCAAAATGTGCTACGTACAGCTGTCATATCACCTTCTTAACATGCATCTTTTTTGACCCACCTCCAATCCAACCTATTCTTTCTCCATTCATCATACTCACCAGGATGTCTAGTTATGCCTATAATACTTCACTTGGCAAAGTTCCTTTGCATATTTTATTAAAGAGCAGTAAGAATCCCACATATGTTCTTCAACTTCAGATCATACTTGTCAGTCTTTCTTTACCATTTTTCCTCTCCTGTCATTCGTTTACTTTGCTGCTAAAATTTTAAACTTCGTTGTTTTTTTTTTTTAAATCCATTTTCCTGACCTCTCTCCTTGACTTCTAAGAACATTTTACACTAAAATACTCATGCTCTTCAAAATCTTACACAACCACGACCCAAACTACATTACTATTTTTGTCTTGATTTTTGAGTTTATTCCTTTTAAAATTTATTTGTTCAACAAATACGAGCATGTGCAAAGAACTTTTTTGGCTTCTTATTCCCCAAGTTCTCAAATAAATTTGTTATATATTTACCGTAGGTTCTGAGTGTTATTTTCAATTACATCCAGCACTTATAACTCTCCCTCAGGTATACCATACTTGATTCCTAAAGCTTCCAAAATCTTGTTTTTTCTACAAATCTGAATTTAGATAGAAATTTTCACAAAAACTAGAAGATAGGAAGTTACTTTTCTGATAGAACTCTTCTTTATAGCCCTAGGATGTTCTCATTTATTTTCTTATACATACTATGGTTTCACTGTTTACTTCAAGTATTTGCTCTGTATTTTATTTTGTTTGTATCTTTATTCATATCAGGGCAGATTTAAATTATGAGTGTAAATATGGAACATGTTTATTTAGCCAAGCTGGCTCTATAATCAGATGAGATCACCTAAAGAAGAGTCTAAAGAGAGAACAGAGAGTGGTTTGGAGCTGAACTTTATCCGTTCCTGAAGATGCAGTCCTCAGATCTCTCTACCCTTCACCGTCCAAGCCATTTTTCTCAGAGATCTCACCCTTTTCTGTAACTACTTTTTTGCCCATGGCACCCAGAAAATATAATTTTGACTCAAATAGTTGTTATTTTGCTTACTTAGCTACTTAGGAACTTAGTTAGTTCCTTACACAAGTACAGTTAAATTTTACACACAAAAAAAGATTGAAAATACCTACTGGAATGTGATACTCCTTGTATAGTAGATACAGGTTGAGTTTGCTATTTGAGAACTCATCCTATGGATGAATAGACAATAAGCTTGATAGTTGCTATACTTTGAACTGGTTTAAAATGAAAAATATTCCATGGTTTAGAGAATGTAAACTTCCAGGAGGGCGGGGATTTATTTTATTTTATTTTAT